CCAGGATGGTCTCGATCTCCTGACCTCGTGATCCGCCCGTCTCGGCCTCCCAAAGTGCTGGGATTACAGGCTTGAGCCACCGCGCCCGGCCCCAAGAGATTTTTAAGCAAATATCCGGGGATAGAGACCCCCATATACATGGGAAATCATGAGCTTCCGGCCGGGCGCGGTGGCTCACTCCTGTAATCCCAGCACTTTGGGAGGCTGAGGCGGGCGAATTACAAGGTGAGGAGATGGAGACCATCCTGGCTCACACGGTGAAATCCCATTTCTACTAAAAACACAAAAAATTAGCCGAGCACTGTGGCGGGCGCCTGTAGTCCCAGCTACTCAGGAGGCTGAGGCAGGAGAATGGGGTGAACCCGGGAGGCGGAGCTAGGAGTGAGCTGAGATCGTGCCACTGCACTCCAGCCTGGGCGACAGCGCCAGACTCTGTCTCAAAAAAAAGAAAAGAATAAGCTTCCATCCCAGGGGTAACAGCACCTCCAGGGCACTCATGAGGTCGGCCTGTGACCTTTGCTTTTATTGTGGTAAAATGCATTTAACATAAAGTTGATCATTTTAACAATTTTTTTTTTTGAGATGGAGTCTCACTCTGTTGCCCAGGCTGGAGTGCAGTGGCACGATCTCAGCTCACTGCAACCTCTGCCTCCAGTGTTCAAGCAATTCTCCTGCCTCGGCCTCCTAAGTAGCTGGGACTACAGGGATGAGCCACCATACCCGGCTAATTTTGTGTTTTTAGTAGAGACGGGTTTCACCATGTTGGTCAGGCTGGTTTTGAACTCCCGACCTCAGGTGATTGCCAGCCTTGGCCTCCCGAAGTGCTGGGATTAGAGGCATGAGCCACCGCACCCAGGCCATGTTAATGATTGTTAAGTGCACAGTTCAGTGGCATGAAGCAGGTTGACGCTGCTGTGTAGCTGCCACTGCCATCCATCTGCAGAGCTTTATATCTTCCCAAATGTCAACCGACCCCGTTAAACACCAACATCCACCCCACCCGCCCCGGGCACCACCATTGCACTGCCTGTCTCTGTGGGTTTGACGACCCTGGGGACCTCACACATGGGCTCAAACGGTATCTGAACTTCTGTGAGGGGCTCATTCCCTCAGCATCAGGTCCTCAGGGTGACTGTGTGGCCTCCGGGTCCGAGCTGCCTTCCATTTCCCGGGCCACTGACGTCCCATTGCACATACATACCACATTCGGGGCAGGGGTTACGTAACACATTCGTCCACCCTCTGGCCGTCGTGAAAAACGCTGCTGCAAACGGTGTGACCTGTGACCTTTTAGACACTGGACTTTCCCAGCACAGGCAGCTGCCTGTTCCTGGGCTGAGCAGGACCCTTTGATCTGTCGGGCACATCGTGCTCCATTTGGAAACGAGGGCTGTGAACTTTGCAAGGGCCTGTGAAAAGGTTTGAGACCAGAAAAATGTTTTTCCTGGTTCCAAGTACAGGAAAGATACTGTAAACTTCAAATTTAAAAAAGTTATAGGCCGGGCGCAGTGGCTCACACCTGTAATCCCAACACTTTGGGAGGCTGAGACAGGTGAATCACGAGGTCAGGAGATCAAGACCAACCTGGCTAACACAGTGAAACCCCGTCTCTACTAAAAACAAAAAAAAATTAGCCGGGCATGGTGGCGGGTGCCTGTGGTCCCAGCTACTCGGGAGGCTGAGGCAGGAGAATGACGTGAACCCAGGAGGCGGAGTTTGCAGTGAGCTGAAATCGCGCCACTGCACTCCAGCCTGGGTGACAGAGCGAGACTCCATCTCAAAAAAAAAAAAAAAGTTATAGTTGTGATTCAATTTAGCTTTTATGTAGTTACATTAAAAATTATATTTAGGCCTGGCGCGGTGGCTCAAGCCTGTAATCCCAGCACTTTGGGAGGCCGAGACGGGCGGATCAC